CCATGTTTGAGGAAGTGGCAGTCTGAATCGGGCAAAACGCTCCGCATACAACATAGAACATTCACCTCCCACTGCTTCCATTTTCACTCAGCTCCATTTCAAGACTGCACCATGTGGTACCCAGCTGGCGCCTCGCAGGTACGTCAAGGTCCTGGCAGAGATCCTGGATTGCGAGCTGGTGACAGAGCCCTTTATGGTGCGCACACTGAAGACCTTCCTGAAGGCCAGTCAGGGGCTTGCAACATGAAGCGAGCAGGGCATGCAGTTTTTGGGGGTACCTGATGTAGAAGACCTTCCTGAAGCTAAAACAACAATCAGCCTGCGTAGCTTTCTTTCGGCTCAAGCTTTCTTTTAGCTCGAAACCCATGACAGAATTGGGTTCTGCGGTCTTGGCGTATGGTAGCATGTCACAGTTCCCGCACCACGTTGCGCAGAAGTGGCTCAACAGCGGCAGCGTCGGCTGGGACGGGATCAGAGCATGAAGCAAGCAGCTCTGAGCAAAGCTTTCATAAATAACATCCGAGGGTGTTCAGCTGTTTACATGAGAAACTTGTTTCCAGGCCGTGCACGAGCTTGCCTGTGCACAACCTCCTTCCGCATTGCCGTCATTCAGTTTCCCCTTCAATACTATTGGATTCTGCTGGCCAGATGGTTGGATTGTGAATTGTTCAGCAGCGGCGCTGCTTGCGAGGAACTGCTTCGTTGCTGGAGGAGGCGATGGGCCCCAAGTGGCAGTGCTTCCACCTCTTGCTGGGGTCTGAGCTGGCGTACCTGCTGGCCACGGTTGAGGGTCGAGAAGCAGGCAGTCTGACCGCGAGCGAGCCAATCCTTTCAGACAGCCACTAGCAGCAGCCAATCCTCCTGGAGTTTCACCTGCGCTTCTCTCATCAGATGCATACCCGGCAACGTGGACCGGGCGCAACCCAAGAAGCAGCTGGGGACGCCCCTGCTGAGACTGCCAGGCAAGTCGAGGAAGTATGAGCGCTCGGCAAGCTCATTAGACAAATATCCTTGCGCTACACCTCACAAATGTTCAGAAGGACAGGCGTACCTTCCCGCGCTGGAGGATCGGGAGTTTTCAATCAAGATGCTTCAGCGTGATTTACAGGGTAATTATGTCAGTGTCTTTGCTTGCTTGCAGCAGAGCCTGCTTGTGTGTACCAATTGAGCCCCAGCAGAGAAAGCAAACATGTGTTTAGGGCCATAAGGCCTGTGCTTTGATTCGTAGGTCCTGTGGTGTTGCGGCTTCATCCCATGAAAAGTCAAGCGTGCCCCACAGCTGTTTGCCACATGGCCAAAGGCCTTCTCCCAGATGTACCACGATGGCGAGTTGGACACGCAAGAGGCGGGGACCAAAAGACCCGCTGGCCATCTTAGTAGGGCGTTCAGTATTGTGTTGGTCAGGAATGGTTTAAAAAAAGCTCTCAAGCATGGACGCCGCGCTGCTCGGATATGTTCGGATATGTTCGGATGTTGGTTATTTCTCAGGCACGGATGAGTTAGCTTGGGAGGCACAGTGCTTTGCAGGTCATCTACTGCCTGGACATTGTCAAAAACGAGCGTGCGAAGGCATCCGTGGTCGGAGGCCGAGGTGAGCTTTTTGAGAGCGTGGCGTGCCATTGCTGTGAGAGCCCGGGGCGCAAGCCGCCTTCAGTACCTTCGCGGTTGGAAGGGGACCAAGGACTGTGTCACTATAGGAAGTTTACTCAATGTCCATCTGTCAGGGTCATGAAAGCTAGGATAGCTAGGTCACCCTAATGATTTAATGCCATTGATGAACAAGATTTGTTCACGCAATGGTTCAATCTGGCAATATCACAGCAGCTCGACTACAGAATCAATTGTGGATCCTTTCAAGCCATTCTTCCCGTAGCCAAGAACATGGATGATTCCAGTGTGCTTCTTTCAGATTTAAGTGCAGGGTCACGGGTTACGTCCGGTTATACTCTATTGTTGTTTTCGGTCTTGTTAAGGGCTAGGGTTGTCGTTCTTGTTTTTGGTCCCTGGCCAATTCGACAGAATGTTCATGATACTTTGTGAGTTGCCCGGGCTGTGTTGGGCCTTGTCTGCGTTTCTTCCACCTCAGGCTAAGCAGCTAGGCATCGACCCGGCGGACCTCGACGAAGTGGGGGGCCAGGGTCAAATGTGCCCTGGGGGCTGGGAGGTGCCGGCTGAGATTGTTCGAGCAGACGGAACCCGAAAGTTGGTTGCAGTTGACTATTATATTTGGAGGTAGGGTCACCCACCAAAGCTGGTCGTGCAAGAAAAGTCAAGTGGGAGTCTCCAGAGCAGTGGTTTGTCCAAGCTGGTCCTTGAGTGGGACGATCATTCGTTCCATGCGTCATCAAGTCAAACCCTGCAGGCCGGATGGGTTGTCTATTAAAGCACGGGGGGGCAATCTCCGACGATTCAATAGAGCAAAATTACGGCATGTATCCCGGAAAGCTTGACCACTGCTGACAAGCGACTCAGTACCTTTTGTGCCAAGAATGCTTTGCAGCGACCCCAGGGATTTTGAGGCTGAATGGAGCCTGCCACATTTCCCAGCGGCCCAGTTTCGATTCCTCAAGACAGCGCATTGGCTGCAACTGGCTGTTGAAGAGTCACGATCTTCAAGATTTATGCACAAGGAACCAACGGAGAATATCATGTTTAAGACCAGATGCCGCAGACATGCAGTCGCTCGCAAACGGGCAGCAGAGCAGTGCCAAAAACACTTTAGCTTTTTGCTGGCCGATCTTTTACCTTTGATCAAACTTTTTGCTTGCCCTAAATGGAAATCAACGGGAGTGTGACGAACCGGTCTACTGGAAGCGAGACCAGATCTTCGCCATGCCGCCAGCCGGGTTTGCAGAGGAAGCGACCAAGTTAATGCAAGGATCGAGTTTGTTTGTTGCTTTGGCAGATATCTCAGAGGGTTGGGTTGAGTCAAACCCGTTGTAGCTTACACACAGATATGAAGTGCAGCACGCAAACCGCAATGTCCGGCCATCTCTCTGGACTCCATTTCAACTTGCGAAAGTCAAGCACAGCACTTACAGACATTTGTGCCAGGGTCCAGACAATCTTCAATACGCAGCCGGCCCACATGGCCGCAAAAACCGCAGCCACAACATTCCCCATTCCAGTGCTTGATTCTCACGCCACACACAGCTCCTATCGCTGAATGCGTACATGGAGGTCGCTGGAAGCTGTGGGCTCAGAGTGTTTCAGCTTAGCTAACGATCAAAGCGCACAGACCAGGCCAGGGGCGGAGGCGCGGAGGTGCGTCTTGCGCCTTCGGGGTTCGTGAATCTGCTTTGCCCATCATTGGCTTACGGTGTCCGGCATTGAGCCTGCAAAGTCACACAGACATGCCTGGATTCCTCTCCAAGCTTCAGCCAAGGCCAAAAGCCATCATTCAGACAGTATAACAAATAGCGCATATGTTGAAAACTGAACATATTAAAATGTACGGCAAACTTCTTTGAGACTTACACCGTTTCATTTTAGGCTCCAGCTCCAGCTCCACAACGAGTGCACTGCTTGATTCTTAGTCTCAGGCCTTGAAGCCGTCGCTGAGCTGGCTCCATCGAGTCGTCCATGCTTTCGCATTCTGAATGTCTTGAGGAGGTCCCTATTCATTTCACACCCTCGATGATCTATTGAGTAAGTGGCCAAGGTGCAAGTGCTGAATCAGCAGCGAAGGGAATGCAGAGTCCCTTTCTTGCAAGCTCTTCAGCATGCACCTTGAATTGGGCGTGGTCAGTTAGATTCTTGGCACATCCTGCCACAATGAAGTATAGCTCAATGCTCAAAGAGCTTGGAAGCAATTCCCAAAGATTCAATAAGGGTTGGCTCGCACGGGAATTTCGATGGAATTCGGAGATCCCAAGAGATGTAAGGCAAGAGAGCACCCCAGGCCTCCTCGGCCTGGCTCCACGGCCACTCTATGGCCGGGTTGCCCAAGTTGCGCGACGTTCAGTCTCCACAGCAGAGCAATGTGTGAATCTTGAAGGGGAGGCAGAGTTTTGATGTGCCACTGACAGCGGATTGGGCAGTCACTTCACAAGGGAGACCCACCTGGAGGCAAGAGGCAACGCCCTGTATCTGAGAAACCATGTTCTAGTCCAATGGCGATTGCGCACAATTGCTTGGCATATTTACTGTAACTCTTGCAGCATAGGTGGTTTCATGTTTTTAGCGGGTGGGAAGACTCATTCATTGATGGCATGGCTACAAAACGCAAGTGCCATGGCCACTGCGTGTATCGTGTGTGTGTGTGTGTGTTGGTACGCTATTGACAAAGTCTAACAATGTCCAACACTTTGCCCCGGCTTGCAATTGTCACTCCATCTCAGTTGCCAACTTGCTTGTCGGTAGCAGACCCTGTTCGCATGCATGCAGGGAATGCGCAAGATTCAGTCCAAGGGATGGTCTATCTTTCTCTCTTGCTCTTTCTTTGTTTGGCAACTGTATAAATGTGTAAAAACGGTACGCGTACTCGGATTCGAATAGAACATTCTTGGCAAACTGTTCAACCCAGCACCAGGACAAGTATGGTTGAGGAAATATTCGGGCACTGCCACTAAGTGGAGGCTGCTTTTTGAAAGCCTTTGACAAGACCCGCCAGGGTGTGCGGGAATCGGGGTGGGGAGAGTCGCACAAGAGGCTTGTAAGAGGGCATACTCACCTGGGACTGATAGTCATGGTGCATTTAGATTTCTTTCGTTGAGCCTTTTTCCCTTCCATTGGGAAATGTGTCTCCCTTTCAGGGCCAATGCAAAGCTGGTCTGTTGACAGGGCGCCCTCCCTGCTGCCAGCCAGAGCCCCGGAGAAGGGCGCACGGGCAGCAGTCCCCTAAGGGTGGGATATGTGGCCTGTGTGGAAGATGTGCAGGTTGTCCATGCTTGTGCGCACTTCGTATGCTATTGAGAACATTTGGCCTCCTTTGCTTTGTTGAATGTGATTGGCACAGTGCCAAGCAGCTCCAGAAAACACATTGCTCAAGCAAAGTCGGG